AGCAACCACTGCCTGCCTCCCAGCTTGCCTGCCTGTCCTCTATCCCCATTCTACCTTGCTTTATTTTTCTATCATTACCGTATCTCCAGAACCATGAACAGTACTTGACAGAGCAGGCATTCAGTACATATTGTTGAATGAATGTGGCTCTATATATATCTATAAGCTGAAAAGCTGACTTTTAAAAAAATGCTCTCAAGTCACTTTTCTATCTCACTGAGTTGGCATCCCCTCGCTCTACCTGGGGGCACCTTAGCGCTGTTTTTTATAGTCATCTCCCTCCCCCAACACAAATGCACATCACATCCACACACAGTAAGCCACACCCGCTCATGCTGCTCAGGCAAAAAAACTCAGTCTCCCCTCATTCCTTCATCACTCCTCCAGCCTCCTTCCACTCTCATCTCCAGCAGTCCTGGGATTGCTCCGGAGACATGACCTCACATCTGAAGAGAGGACCCCTTTTTCCATGAAGTCCATGAAGTACCCTCTCAAGGACTTCATGACTTTGGCTCCATCAGATACAACAGTGAATGCAGGAACTTTGTTTCTCTTCCTTGCCAACAGTCCTTATCTGCCCTTATATTGAGCCTCACCCCTGGCAGGGCCTGCTCTGCCTTCTACATCTCACCTATGGGACACTGCTCACCACAGCTCACTGGACAGAAAGGAAAGGAAAGAGAAAAGAGAAAAGAAAAAGGAAAGGAAAGCGAGTGAAAGGAAGGAAAGAAGGAAGGAAGGAAAGGAAGGAAGGAAGGAAGGAAGGAAGGAAGGAAGGAAGGAAGGGAGGGAGGGAGGGAGGGAGGGAGGGAGGGAGGGAAGGGAAGGGAAGGGAAGGAGGGCAGGAGGGCCAGGTGTGGTAGCTCACGCCTGTAATCCCTACACTTTGGGAGGCCAAGGCAGGCCGATCACCTGAAGCCAGGAGTTCAAGACCAGCCTGACCAACATGGAGAAAACCTCTCTCTACTAAAAATACAAAATTAGCCAGGTGCAGTGGCACGTGCCTGTAATCCCAGCTAGTCGGGAGGCTGAGGCAGGACAATCACTTGAACCCAACCTGGGAGGTGGAGGTTGCAGTGCGCTGAGATCATGCCATTGCACTCCAGCCTGGGCAACAAGAGCAAAACTCTGAAAAAAAAAGAAAAAAAAGGAAGGAAAGTAGGAGAGAAAGAAAGAAAGAGAGAGGGAGAGAGACAAAGAAAGAGAAAGAAAGAAAGAAAGAAAGAAAGAAAGAAAGAAAGAAAGAAAGAAAGAAAGAAAGAAAGAAAGAAAGAAAGAAAGAAAAGAAAGAAGGGAGGGAGGGAGGGAGGGAGGGAGAGAGAAAGAAAGAGAAAGAGAGAGAGAAAGCGGGGAGGGAGGAAGGGGGAGGGAAGGAAAAGAGAAGAGGGAGGGAGGAAGGGAGAGAGGAAGAGAGTGAAGGAGAGGAGAGGAAAGGAAATGAAGAAGAGGGAGAGACCGGGAGAAGGCAGACAGACACAAACTCTGGTTACTTGCAAAGTTACATCCCTTTAATTCCTGGAGTAGACAACTGCCTATATGGTATGTCTCCAACAACTCTGAAAATGGGCTCTTGCATTTCCTCTTTCATCCTCACCTGTTCAAGAGGTTTTTTTTTTTTCCTTTCTTTTTCTTTTTTAGAGACACGGCCTTGCTCTGTCGCCCAGGCTGGAGTGCAGTGGTGTAATTATGGCTCAAGCAATCCTCCTACCACAGCCTTCCAAGTAGCTGGGACTACAGGCACACACCACCACACCTGGCTAATTTTCTTTACTGAAGAGACAAGGTCTCACTACGTTGTCCAGGCTGGTCTCCAACTCCAGGGCTCAAACAAGACTGCTGCCTTGGCTTCCCAAAGTGTTGGAATTACAGGTATGAGTCACTGTGCCTGGCCAACAATTTCCTTTTTTCTTTTCTTTTTTTTTGAGACAGAGTCTTGCTCTGTTGCCCAGGCTGGAATGCAGTGGCAAGATCTCAGCTCATTGCAACCTCTGCTGCTGGGTTCAAGCGATTCTCATGCCTCACCCTGCAAGTAGCTGGGAGTACAGGCATGCGCCACCATGCCCAGCTAATTTTTTTGTATTTTTATTAGAGATGGGGTTTCACCATGTTGGCCAGGTTGGCCAGGCTAGTTTTGAACTCCTGACCGCAAGTGATCCATCCACCTCAGCCTCTTAAAGTGTTGGGATTACAGGCATGAGCCACCACACCTGGCCAGCAGATTCTTAAGTTTTGGAAGGAAGAAGAGAAAGGGCTCTAGGCACCTAAAGGCAGTAGGTAAAGGATAGCAGGTAGCTGGGCGCGGTGGTTCATGTCTGTAATCCCAGCACTTTGGGAGGCCAAGGTTGGGCAGATCACTTGAGCTCAGGAGTTTGAGACCAGCCTGGGCAACATGACGAAACTCCCCATCTCTACAATTTAATTTAAAAAAAATAAAAGGATAACAGGTAACCAGAAAAGAAAAAGGTGGCTACAAGATTGTATGCCTTCAATTGGCAGAGACTGTGTCTTATACTTTTGTATGTATGCTTAATACAACGTACCTAGGACAGTGCCAGGCCTCATTAAACATTTGTTTTTTATTTTTTTGGAACAAAGTCTCATTCTATCCCCCAGGCTGGAGTGCAATGGTGTGATCTCGTCTCACTGCAACCTCCACCTCCCAGGATCAAGTGATTCTCCTGCCTCAGCCTACTTGTGGGATTACAGGCGCTTGCCACGACACCCAGTTAATTTCTGTTTCTGTTGTAGTTGTTGTTTTGAGCCGGAGTCTCACTCTGTCGCTTAGGCTGGAGTGCAGTGACGCAATCTTGGCTCACTGCAACCTCCATCTCCTGGGTTCAAGTGATTCTCCTGCCTCAGCCTCCTGAGTAGCTGGGATTACAGACATGTGCCACCATGCCCAGCTAATTTTTGTATTTTTTTTTTTTTTTTTTTTTTTTTGAGACGGAGTCTTGCTCTGTCGCCCGGACTGGAGTGCAGTGACCGGATCTCGGCTCACTGCAAGCTCCGCCTCCCGGGTTCACGCCATTCTCCTGCCTCAGCCTCCCGAGTAGCTGGGACTACAGGCGCCCGCCACCTCGCCCGGCTAGTTTTTTGTATTTTTTAGTAGAGACGGGGTTTCACCGTGTTAGCCAGGATGGTCTCGATCTCCTGACCTCGTAATCCACCCATCTCGGCCTCCCAAAGTGCTGGGATTACAGGCTTGAGCCACCGCACCCGGCCAATTTTTGTATTTTTAGCAGAGACTGGATTTCACCTTGTTGGTCAGGCTGGTCTCGAACTCCTGACCTCGTAATCTGCCCGCCTCGGCCTCCCAAAGTGCTGGGATTACAGGCGTGAGCCACCGTGCCAGGCCTTAAACATTTGTTGATTGGCTGGACAATAAAGAACTTGCTTTAGAAGGAGGAGAGGACAGAAAAAAAAAAAAAAAAGGAATGAATAGGATATCTTAAGTTTCAGCCACAGAACCTTTACTGGGACAACTCTTGATCACATGTCAAACTGCTTTCATTTGGGGCAAGAGGATAAGGGGAAGTTGCACGGTGGAATGTGCAGAGATAGAGCATCTGGAAGATAAAAGATTTTACTAAGTATCTTCCCCAGAAATAGCAATGAAAAACAAATTTACTTTTATTCTGTCTCTGTTTTCCTGACTTGCCAGTCTGCCAGCTTGTATCTTAACTATCTGTCTCTACTCCCTGTCTCTACTATTGTTTTTTCCTCTTTAATAATGATCAAGTCCAAAGAAACCTGAGAAGCCCTGTTCCTAGCACCTTTTCCTGAGTTACCAGGAACCCCCTCTTTCTCCCCCAGGGAATTATTGGGAACAAGTCTTTCTCATTGGGTCAGACTCCACACAGCACTAATATGGCTAAAAGCCAGAGTAAAGAACCAGGGAAAGCTGGAGTTTGGATGAGTCTGGTTAAAGTCCATCCTAGACAGTCCAAATGCCCTGACCCCAAAGGGGAGGGCCCTTCTCTCCAGCAGAGCCAGATTTTATGCAAGACATTTAGTATGTCAAAGTATCAGTCTCTGGCCTTGGAGGCAGGTCTCCTGGGCCCGGTTTTAGCTCCTCCCCTGGGTGATCCAGGTTAACTGAGCTCTCCACTCCTTTCTTCCCCCAAACTTTAGACCTTTGACCTAAGAAAGCAAGCAAGAAAGGTCAGTGCAGGACTGGGAGCTCTTGAGGACGCAACAATTAGAGTAAAAGGAAAGGGAGAGTGGCATTAAACTAATAGATTTCAGAACTGTAGCCTTTCCCCAGTCCAACCCTTCACAGTTGGGTAATGGGGAAGGGCTCCAGGTCCCTCTCCAATGCCAGTTCTCAACGGCCTCGGGTTCCAGCCTGGCCGAGGAGCGCCATCTGGCGGCCAACCCCCCAACTTGGATTCTCTGCCCCATCCGACTTTCCGAAGCCCGAACTAGATCTGGGCTGGAGAGTGTCACCTCCTCCTCTGCGTCACTCCGGGGACTCCGCCCTGCCAGGAACGCTCCTCCTCAAGCGGGGACAGGCCCAAGCGCCTCCCCGGCAAGAAAACTGCCCATCCTCCCTCCAGGGTAGACTGCTTCTCCACTAGAGTCTGCTTAAAGCTCCCCCAAGGGATCCGCCCCGCCTCGTCGCCCACAGAGAGCCCGCCTCTCCCCGAGGGGCATCCGCCCCTAGTCCTCCAGTTTCCCCTGGAGGAGGGAGAGGGAACGTGCTGCACAGCGCCCCCAAGTTCAACCCCCAACTCGGTCCCTCCCGAAGAATGGATTCCTCTTCTCCTTCTCCTCCCCAGCCTTATGGGAGCCTCTTCCAGTCCACAGAACCCAAATCCAGGTTACTAATGAGCTCCCCTTCCTAGTGGCCAGGTGAACCCTCTCGACCTCAGGCTCCGCTCGCCTGAGGTTGGCCCATGGCCCCGCCGCCCCTGGGACTCGGCCCCAGCCTTCTCACCACCCACGCCAGTGGGCGGGGCTCCCACGGCCCGGCCCCGGGTGGGCGGTCCCATCGTGACGTCACTTCCGCCCGGGCCTGGCCTAGGTTCGGGCTCCGTGGGCCGAGGCGGGGGTTACGGAGGTGGCAGCGGTGGGAGGAGGCGGCGTGGAAGGCCGAGGAGCTCGAGCCCGGACCAATCCCCGCGTTCTGGGCCGCGACCCTGACCCTGCAGCGCACCGGGAAGCGAAACCGGCCGGATGGGCCGCTGAGCCCGAATCGGGCACTGGTGAGGCTCGGGCAGAGCGGGCAGCCCTGAACGGGAGCGGGCCCGCGGGGCTGCAGGGTCTGGGAGGCCGGGATGCGGACTGGGGAAACGAGAGGCTCAGGCCTACCTCTCCGGCTCACCCGGCGGGGAGGCAGGAGCTGGAGGAGCCGCAGACAGGCGCGGGGGTCTTAGTGAGGCCCGCCTGGGGGAGGCCTGAGTGTAAGGAGGGGGCGGGGTGGCTGGGGTCATTAATGGGGCGGAGGACCTGCACTTGGGATTTTCATCTAGAACGGTGGCGGCGGGGGAGGAGGGGAGAGTATGCTACCGGCCAGAGCTTTGGGAAGAGGATGGCTCTGAGTGGGGGAGGGAAAAACCGAGAGGCTTGGAAAATGTTTCCGTGGCCCTAATTGAGAGAGAGGTTTGAAGAGCCCTTACCTCCTTAGAGGGTTGTGCGGAACACTGGAGTAGGGTCTCCCTGGAGTTTAGGGGGTCAGTTACAGCATTTGGAAATGACAGTGCTCTGAGAGTCCCTACACTGAGTGGGTGTGCAAAACCCTGGCCACCTCCAAGTATCTGAGCTCCCACATGTTTCCAGTGTGGAGCCCCCTGGAGCTGAGATCAGGATGTTCCGCTTCATGAGGGATGTGGAGCCTGAGGATCCCATGTTCCTGATGTGAGTATTCCCTCCCCCTCAAGCTTCCCACTCCAGGTCTCAGCAGTTCAGGCAGACATCGGGGTTCCCATTGCTGGGAATGGTTGGAACTGGCTGGATACCCAGCTCCTACCTAGCAGAAAGTAGGCATCGGTGCCACTGTTGCTCTGTGCGTATTTTTTGCAGGGTGGTGGAGGGATTAAGTTTGGCGCTTCTGCCATCCATACTATGTGCTCACTCCACAGGGATCCCTTTGCTATTCACCGTCAGCATATGAGCCGTATGTTGTCAGGTGGCTTTGGATATAGCCCCTTCCTCAGCATCACAGATGGCAACATGCCAGGGACCAGGCCTGCCAGCCGCAGGATGCAGCAGGTAATGGTGCTATGACACACCTGAGACCCAAGGAAAGGTTGGAGGTTGGTTAGGAAAGCACTTTAGTTTTCTTGCACTACAACCAACTGAGCAAGTGAAGTGCTCTAGGAATGGGGGAAGGGGTCAGGAAAAAGGGCTTTGTGACTCCCTTTTGAGAGGATGGAAAAAAAAAAATTGAGGCCATGGGCCTGGTTTGGGATTGTATAGAGATAGGATGTGGTCTGTAATTTCTGTTCCTCATGTGTTCCTGTAGGCTGGAGCTGTCTCCCCCTTTGGGATGCTGGGAATGGTGAGTCTTCATCTCCCCGTGTCCTGCCATCTCAGACGCACTCTCTACCCTTAGGTATTATTCCCAAGTGTGCCTTTTAGGAATAGTTTCATGGGTAACCCCAGAATCTTCTCTTTTTATGGCATTCACAAAGCTCTGAGCCTGCTGGGTACTAGGAGCCCTGTGGGTTAAAGGTGTTATTAACTCTCGTTGGGAGGCCGAGACGGGTCATCACTTGTGGTCAGGAGTGTTGAGACCAGACTGGCCAACGTGGTGAAACTCCTTCTCTACTAAAAATACCAAAAAAGCCAGGCATGGTGGCACACACCTGTAGTCCCAGCTACTCTTGAACCTAGGAAATAGAGGTTGCAGTGAGCTGAGACTGCACCAGTGCACTCCAGCATGGGCAACAGAGCCAGACTCCACCTCGAAAAAAGAAGAAAAGACATTATTAACTCTTGTACTCCTAGAAGTTCATGCTCATTAGGAAGATGTAATTGTCTAGCAAAATTTGTTCTTTGGAGGAGGGAGGCGCAGTTAAAGGGCCAACTAGAGATGATTTTTTGGTAGGTTTTAACAATTTCATGCCTTAATTTCTTTAGAGTTTAGGATCCATTAACTTTGGCTTGCTTCCTAAAGATGGGGGGAATATAGCAGGCAGGAGAAGGAAAATTGGATCAGAGCAGTCATAGAGATTGAGGAAGGGGTCAGCAGTTTACAGGAAGAGAAACATGAGTATTCTGGTTACGTTAATAGAGAATGAGAAAGAGAACTTGCTAGATGTGAAGAAGAGAAAGGAAGTGTGCAGCCACGTGGGTTGTGGGTTCCTAAACAGGATCAACTCTGAACATTGACTTTGCTTTCCTGACTCTGTTTTCCATCTCTTTCCTCCAGTCGGGTGGTTTCATGGACATGTTTGGGATGATGAATGACATGATTGGAAACATGGTGAGACTTGCCCCATACCCTTCCCCGGCCTTGCTCTCAGTGATGGCTGACAACACCTTGAATCCTCTAAGGCAAGAGGGAGACAGTATGCTAGTGAAGGGTAAAGTACTGGATACCGTAATTGAACCAGAGAGCCTTGGGACCCTGTATCTGCTGTCATGCCTGCCTGAAGCAGCCAGCAGCAGCACTCTGATGTAGCATACAATTAAGGCTCTGTCTCTTCAGATCCTTCTTGCTCGTGGTTGGACTCAGAGGAATTTGGGAGGGTAATGATGAGGCCTGATGTTTTTTCAGTTCTTGCATTTTGTGAGAAAGATACAGGCTAGAACAGGCAGCTGAAGGGCGAAATCTCTTCACCGGGGGGATGCCTCCCCATTCAGCCCTCCTACCTACCCTGTCCTCAGGAGCACATGACAGCTGGAGGCAATTGTCAGACCTTCTCATCTTCCACTGTCATCTCCTACTCCAATACGGGTGATGGTGCCCCCAAGGTTTACCAGGAGACATCAGAGATGCGCTCAGCACCAGGCGGGGTGAGTGGGGGAGCCCTCCTGTCCCAGAGAAGGGGGGATTGAGCGGCACCCCCAGAAACCCTGGCTGCTTTTTTCCGGATTGGGTTGTGTGTGGTGTGTTTCTCCTGAGATGGTATAGCCAGGGCTTTGGAAGGGGCGGCTAAGTGTGCCATGTTCTGCCTCATCCCAGATCCGGGAGACACGGAGGACTGTTCGGGATTCAGACAGTGGACTGGAGCAGATGTCCATCGGGCATCACATCCGGGACAGGGCCCACATCCTCCAGCGCTCCCGAAACCATCGCACGGGGGACCAGGAGGAGCGGCAGGACTATATCAACCTGGATGAGAGTGAGCCTTCCCTCCCACTTCCTGGCCGGCAGCCCCTAGCCCAGTTCCTGTGGGCTAGGAGACATCCCTAACTCATAGACACTTCTGGGCAAAGCTCTGGATCAGCCCCATATATATATATTTTTTTTTTTTACTTTTGAGACGGAGTCTCGCTCTTGTTGCCCAGGTGCCCAGGCTGGAGTGCAGTGCGGCGATCTCAGCTCACTGCAACCCCCGCCTCCCGGGCTCAAGCAATTCTCCTGCCTCAGCCTCCCGAGTAGCTGGGACTACAGGTATGTACCACCACGCCCAGCTAATTTCTGTATTTTTAGTAGAGACGGGGTTTCACCATATTGGCCAGGCTGGCCTCAAACTCCTGACCTCAGGTGATCCACCTGCCTCGGCCTCCCAAAGTGCTGGGATTACAGGCGTGAGCCACCGCGCCCGGCTGTCAGCCCCATATTCTTAGGCACTCGGAGCCTCCTCCGCTCAGGGGCTGAGTCAGGTGCCGGCGGCGGTGTCTTTGAGAGGGGCCTGCTTTGTCCCTGAAGTTCCGTATTGATAGTGTTACACTCTTCTCCACCTGGATCCGTTTCTTTCTCCCCTCTTTATCTTTTTCAAATCCGCAATTATTAAGTACTTAGTGTGCACACAGGACTATGAACCTGAACTGAAGAATAATCCCATTCTGATTTCTTCCTCCAGTAGGCCACCTTAGGCCTACCGGTGGCTTCCCGGGATCGTGTAGAAACCAAAGAGCTAAGGGAATTGCCGCCCCACCCACCCCTGCACACACACTCAGCCTTCGCCGCTTTGGCCGGAGAAGCTGTGACTCGCTCGCACATCGGCCTCCAGGAGCCAGGCCGCACACAGGCCTCATGTGGACTCCGTCCCCTCCAGGTGAGGCCGCAGCATTTGACGACGAGTGGCGGCGGGAGACGTCCCGATTCCGGCAGCAGCGCCCCCTGGAGTTTCGGCGGCTTGAGTCCTCAGGGGCGGGGGGACGAAGGGCAGAGGGGCCTCCCCGCTTGGCCATCCAGGGACCTGAGGACTCCCCTTCCCGACAGTCCCGCCGCTATGACTGGTGAGGGCCCCGGGCCCTCAGCCTCTCTTGTAAGTATCAGGGGTAAGGAGGACGGGGTGCACCTGCGGATGGTCCTCGGCCGCGAGGCAGGCGCAGTCCAGGCTCGCGCGGGAGCTGCCTTTGATAGTGCGAGTTGGTGTGGAAAGAACAATGTTCTCACTGACATAGGCGATTAAACCCCAGCTCCTGGCTCTTAACATAAGTTTTTTCTTCCTTTTGATTTGTGCTCCTCTCTTTTCCCCTCCAGGTACAGGCTGAGAAATCATCCCCTGAATAACTTCTTCCTCTCTGATTCCCATCCCCAATTTAATATTAAATTAACAGGCAAGCCGGCCCCCACCTCTCCCTGGGGGTCTCAGGGAGAACCTTTCACGGCACCCTTTCCCTACTTTTTCCTTCTTTAATCCCCTTACCATGGTGACTTCGCCTCTGCATCTACTAACTTGATTTTTCATTCTGCTGCTCCATCTTCAAACCCCCTCACCTTTCCCATTCTACTCCTGCCATGCATTGAAGGGTCTTTTGGGGTGAGCTCTGGGTTTAGGGGTCTCCTCCATCCCTCAGCTACCCTGGATCTTTGCCCACCTCTTCCTCAGAGCCCCCACTGAGGGGCCGTAGCCCTGTCTAGAGCTGTGGAAGGAGCAGACTGGTTCCCAACTCTTTCTCCCTACTCCTGCCCACACACATCACGAGAATCTTCCCTAAACCCTTCTCTGCCTTTATTTTTTGATTTGTGCAACTTGTAACTAGGTGTTTATGGAATAAAGGAGAATGGAAAAAAGACCAAATGGGATTCTGGCTGTACTTTTGATCTTTTCCTGTTCAGTTCAACCCTCCTGTCTCCTCTGAAGTTACCTTCTCACTTTTCCTCATCTCCACGTGTAGCTTTCGTACCTCAGAGTTCAAGCCCACATCTCCTTGGTGTGGAGAGACCATCAGCACTGGCAGGTGCAGGCCATCAGCACTCGGCTGGGCTAGGCTGGGGCGTGAGAACATGAGCACGTGCCTCGCTGGCTCTCCCCTCACATTCTGCTGTCACTTTGCTCTTCAGGGATGCGCTGGGCATCTCTCGTGGGTGCCTGCAGAACTTGCTGCCCCTTGCTCCTTAGGCAGAGTTTCTTTCCTGCACTCTGGGTGGAAACACTTCAGATAACCCTGCACAGGCCTTCAGAGGGGAGGAACTCTGGTCTGCAGCGTTCCACAAACCTTCCACCCACAGTAGTTGCGAATTTGAGCCCAGGGAAGAAGACTAGAGAAGAAAACTTAACCTGGAACCTGAGCATGACTGGAAGGGCATGAGGAGCTCAAATTTCTCAAGACGTTCACTCTTGCTTTGCCCAGCCAAATGGGTCACTCTTTTCCTCTTGGGAACTTACTTAATGATGACAAATGTGTAGGAGAGTCTGATAATGGTTTCCTCTTTATAAAAGTCTTGAGTTCTTTTCAGTTGGGGACACAAAGACACCTAAGGTTCTGGGTCCTCTCAGGGAAGGGAGAATCTTCCCCTGTGTCTCATGGACGAGTAGATTCAAGAGGATAAGGAGCGGCTGAGTGCAGTGGCTCACACCTATAATCCTTGTACTTTGGGAGGCCAAGATGGGCGGATCGGGAGGTCAGGAGATCGAGAGCATCCTGGCGAACATGGTGAAACCCTGTCTCTACTAAAAATACAAAAAATTAGCCGGGCGTCGTAGCAGGCGCTTGTAGTCCCAGCTATTTGGGAGGCTGAGGCAGGAGAATGGCGTGAACCCAGGAGGTGGAGCTTGCAGTGAGCCGTGATTGTGCCACTGCACTCCAGCCTGGGCGACAGAGCAAGACTCTGTCTCAAAAAAAAAAAAAAAAGATGGTGATTTGTCCAGTGACTCAACAAGCAGAGAGATAGAGATGAAGTTGAGCTCGGCCGGGCGCGGTGGCTCAAGCCTGTAATACCTGCACTTTGGGAGGCTGAGACGGGCGGATCACGAGGCCAGGAGATCAAGACCATCCTGGCTAACATGGTGAAACCCTGTCTCTACTAAAAAATACAAAAAACTAGCCGGGCGCGGTGGCAGGTGCCTGTAGTCCCGGCTACTCGGGAGGCTGAGGCGGGAGAATGGCGTAAACCCGGGAGGCGGAGCTTGCAGTGAGCTGAGATCCGGCCACTGCACTCCAGCCTGGGTGACAGAGAGAGACTCCGTCTCAAAAAAGAAAAAAAAAAAGAAGTTGAGCTCAACAACCAGGCACTGGTGTCCTAGTCCAGTGCAGTTACTAAATCCCATTAAGTAGGCTGGTGAAGATGCACGACCAGGTCAAGGGAACCCAGTGGTGAAAGAATCCAGGAATCCCAGAAGTCAAACAGGTATGGATTATTCACCAGCTGGGCTCTGAACTGTGGATGATGGAACTCAGCAGCCATGGTCCTCATCTTTTTTTTGAGATGGAGTATTGCTCTGTCACCCAGGCAGTGGCGTGATCTCAGCTCACTGCAGCCTCTGCCTCCCCAGTTCAAGAGATTCTCCTGCCTCAGCCTCCTCAGTAGCTGAGACTACAGGTGTGCGCCACCACGCCCAGCTAATTTTAGTGTTTTTAGAAGAGACAGGGTTTCACCATGTTGGCCAGGCTGGTCTTGAACTCCTGGACTCAAGTGATCCACCTGCCTCGGCCTCCCAAAGTGCTGGGATTACAGGTATGAGCTGTTGTGCCTGGCTTCATAGCTCTCATCTTTAAGTGTAATCTTGCCCTATGCAGATAAGCACACGACTGTTTCCTCTGAGAAAGGAGTTTTCTTCACTCTCCTAAGAAGGCAGCAAGGTAACCTGGAATTGAAGGAGCCTCAGTCCTTAGCTCTGCCACTAACAGCCTTGTGGTCTTGGGCAGGTCACTCACCTCCCTGGACCTGAGTTATGTGGGGCCCTTCTAGCCACAAAATATCAGGCCCAGCCTCTCAACCCCGATTTCAGTTCCAGTGCCTGCATGCGCAGGTATAGTCCTGAGTGTGACTGGAGCAGGGTAAGGCTGCCCTGACCTCAGTCCAGGTGAGTCAGTCCAGTGTTTTCAGGGATTCCCCTGTTCAGGTCCCAGCCTTTAGGCATGTGAACTGATTTGTACCCCTGCTCCCTGCTGTAGGGTTTGGACCACCCTTCACCCCAGCCCTTACTCCTAGGGCCTGTGACTAGTTCTCAGCAGGGATATGTTGTGGGAAATGAGGTGTTAGTTAGCATCAGTAGAGTGAGATGCTCAAGAACCAGCCCCCAGCGGGGCGCGGTGACTCACGCCTGTAATCCCAGCACTTTGGGAGGCTGAGGTGGGTGGATCACGAGGTCAGCATATCGAGACCAGCCTGGCTAACACGGTGAAACCCCATTTCCACTAAAAGTACAAAAAATTAGCCAGGTGTGGTGGTGGGCTCCTGTAGTCCCAGCTACTTGGGAGGCTGAGGCAGGAGAATGGTGTGAACCCGGGAGGCGGAGCTTGCAGTGAGCCAAGATCGTGCCACTGCACTCCAGCCTGGGTGAAAGAGCAAGACTCCATATCAAAAAAAAAAAAAAAGAACCAGCCCCCTAGCACATCCTGACCTGTCTGCCACAGGGGTAAGGGCCACGGGACAGGAAGAGGAAAGGAACTTTTCTGAGGGACACAGATATTCTACTTCCGGTCAGCTCTCCATCTGGGCCCAGCCTCACACAGCGGCCACCCCTCAGCCACCGGCCCAGCAAATATCCAGAGGACATGGGCAAATGACTCAGGTTATTTTCTCCACCCTAGAACATTACAGGTTGGAAGAGGCTGACACTAGGTGTGTGACTAAGCAGAATAACACAGAGGAGGGAAACAGGCTGCAGACGCACAAGCAAGATCTGGCTCTACCACTCAGCCACACTGTGGGAAAGACTCTTCCTCTCTCGTAACGTCAGTTCCCCACTTTGTAAAATGGACCTTTCTAGGCACTGGTGACTGTGGATTCATACCTCAGAACTGAGACCTGAGTGAGTGCAGAGAGCGTCTGACACGCGCATGGGATACAAATGACCGTTCCACCCTAGTCTGTCTCCCTGATCACTCTCTCCCTGCCTTGCTCCTTCAGGGTTCTCTGGTGGTCCCTCATCCCCCACTCCATCCTCAGGACCCCTAAAATACTTCCAGACACAACCTGGATCTCATCCTACTGGCCTTGAACAGCCCCCAGCCGTTCACCTTCCCAGCTCCTGGCTATCATCTCTCACTCCCTCCAGACCTCAAAGCAGAAACAAATGTCTGAGGCCACTCTCCCTCTGCCCTGTTTGTGGTTTGGGGTTTTTTCTCCCCTTTCTTTTTTTTTTTTTTTTTTTTTTTTTTTTTTTGAGACGGAGTCTCACTTCGTCGCCCAGGCTGGAGTGCAGTGGCGCAATCTCGGCTCACTGCAAGCTCCGCCTCCCGGGTTCACGCCATTCTCCTGCCTCAGCCTCCCGAGTAGCTGGGACTACAGGCGCCCACCACTGCGCCCGGCTAATTTTTTCTATTTTTAGTAGAGACGGGGTTTCACCATGGTCTCGATCTCCTGACCTTGTGATCCGCCCGCCTCGGCCTCCCAAAGTGCTGGGATTACAGGCGTGAGCCACCGCGCCCGGCCTCCCCTTTCTATTGTAATGGCCTCAGGCCCTAGTAATAATACCCTTTTTCCTCCACCCTCTACCCCATGTCCAAGTTATATAAACAGGTGACCCAGAGACCCAGGAACTGGCCCACAGAACCCAGAAGTCTGGTCTTGCCACCTGCATATTCCAAGTCCATTTAACTCACATACCTTCCTGCCTTTATGTTCCCAATCCTGGGACTGTCATTCCAGGGGCTGAGGGAACAGCAGGGCTCAAAGATGCCTTCTCTCAGCCCATTCCAGTTGGGCTAGGGGCAAGAAGAAAGCAGTCTTAACCTCTGTCGCTCGTAGACATCACTGGAGTCTTAGGAGAGGCAGGAGACAGGTAGTGCTGCACCAGGACGGGGAGATAAAGATGGGACGGTGAGGCATGGGAGGTACCGGGAGGTGAAAGAAATCACTGAGGAGCTGGGGCATGGGGAGACGTTGGTAGCTGGCTCTCATAAGGAGCCTCTGTCCAGCCTCATCCCTCAGGAGAGCCTGTGTTGGGGGCACAGAGCTGACATAGCCTGAGGGAGAGGGGCCTGGGACGCTGAAGCCTGACAGCTACTACACAGGGGGCCCTGAAACCCCCCAGTGTAGAGCAGTGTGGAGTGTGCTGATGACTCTTAGCCCTCTTAGCCTCCGTGTCTGCTTTTTTTTTTTTTTTTTTTTTTTGAGACGGAGTCTCCCTCTGTGCCCAAGCTGGAGTGCAGTGGTGCGATCTCGGCTCACTGCAAGCTCCGCCTCCCAGGTTCACGCCATTCTCCTGCCTCAGCCTCCCATGTAGCTGCAACTACAGGCGCCCGCCACCACGCCCTGCTAATTTTTTTTTTTTTTGTATTTTTAGCAGAGACAGGGTTTCACCGTGTTAGCCAGGATGGTCTCAATCTCCTGACCTCGTGATCCGCCCGCCTCGGCCTCCCAAAGTGCTGGGATTACAGGCGTGAGCCACCGCGCCCACCCTTTTTTTTTTTTTTTTTTTTTTTTTTTTAAACGGAGTCTCGCTCTGTCACCCAGGCTGGAGTGCAATCTCTCGGCTCACTGCAACCTCTGCCTCCCAGGTTCAAGCGATTCTCCTGCCTCAGCCTCCAGGTAGCTGGGATTACAGGCATCTGCCATTGCGGTCGGCTAATTTTTTAATTTTTAGTGGAGAGGGAGTTTCACCATGTTGGCCAGGCTGATCTTGAACTCTTG